AAACTAATTTCACACAAAGTTACTTGGACTCATCTCAACTGCTAAAAATAATAAAGATTGATATCCAGATTATATTGGCAGAAAGGGGAGCAAATTTTGCTCAGTTTGAAGTGATTAAGTTTTGTAACCAAATCTTGAGGTTTGATAATCGAAACGCTCTAATATCGGAATTAACTTGGTATAGAAAGAAAGCTAGAGTTAGATATAAATATGACATTAAATGTTATCTGATGGGTTAAAAATGTTTTAAAGGTTTTTTTCTGATTTAATAACGAAGGAAGACTATTATAAATATGATAATGTTGTAATAATTGAATTTGTTTGATTTAATTATGAATGGATGGGAATTAAGGTCCTAAAGGTTCCTTTTTTTTTTTATTCAATAATGGTCGAAGGAGGTGGACTTATTGTTAATGTTACATTTGATAAACAATTGAATGATAACTAAGTAATTGAAGATGTAAACCTTATTAAGGGTTTAAAATGATTTTTTATAGGTGCAGTTTGATGAAATGACAGAATTTACTTGTTAATTTTATGGAAGATGGGAATTTTTTCTTTTTTTTTTAGCTTGCTGAAATGGTAAAGATTTTGGGTATTTGAAGAATTAATTAAATGAATATAAACAATTGAATGATAATTAAGGAATTGAAGTTGTAAATCTTATTAAGGGTTTAAAATGATTTTTTTATAGGTGTAGTTTGATGAAATGACAGAATTAACTTGTTAACTTTATGGAAGATGGGAATTTTTTTCCTTTTTCTTTTTTTTTCGTACAAGTAAGGGATGGTGTTAGACTGTCTTGCTGAAGTGGTAAAGATTTTGGGTATTTGAGGAACTAATTGAATGAATAATTTTTATTAATACGGAGGAGATGGATTGTTTAAGTTTAGAGTTTGGAGTTAGAGATATTAATATTGGTTTACTTGTATTTGAATATTAGCCTAGGTTTGGTTTGGGAAGTCCGGGGGGTGGGGGGATGGGATATAACATTGTGTAATATCTGTGATGTATTTCTTTTTTTTTTTTTATGATGAAAAAAATAAAATTTTATATTGAAAAAAAAAAAAAAAAGAGAAATGAGAAATAAATTCTGAATACAGATATTGTCCATCTGTAGCATCTGACAGAATCTTTTAAATCACTCCTGCTGTCATTTGCAGATGCCACATGAAAGTACAATATAGGCATATCTTAATAAATCTTTGAAGAAATCAAAGAAATATAATTATTTTACCATGTAATCTTCATTACTTCGCATTGCAAATTGTGGTGGAAAAGCAGGTAATACAATTGAGGCCGCAATCATGTAAATTTCCATTAACATCCAGAATTCAGAATATAAATCAATCTGAGGAATAAATTAAAATATGTTTTAATCCATTGTGATAAAATGTCATAATAGAATAGCTATATTATTAACATAAATGCTAGTCTAGCCCTGTCACACGACCATTTACTTTTTTAACCACATAGAATTGTGTCATCAAAACAATTTTGATCTGGAATGATTGCATAAAATTCAACTTACCCTTGAATGACTGGGGATGGGACAACATTGCAGGAGATATTCATTGAACATCTTAAACTCTCCCACCACTTATGCTCCCTAGCAATCGCCTTTTACATAATATCTTGAAAACTATGATTAGATTATATTTGAAACTAAATAGGAATATTTTCCCTGTTGCTTCCTGCACACAAAAAAACTTCATTTGATATTCCTCTGGAATACTTACACTGATAAATACATGATTCCAGGTTCGAAGATGGGCAGTAGAATTAAACATATGCAAAAATGCATTGCTGATGATGTTGACAAGCACAGGAAAGCAGTTAGTTATCTCCATATGGCACATAAGTGTGAACTTGTATTTCTGAACCAAGGCAAGAAGTTAGAACACAAGGGACACAAGTGAGGAACATGCTAGGAGAACAAAAGTTCTAAAGAATGTAATTTACATAATTGCAAACTTAACTTATAATAAAAGCCATTTGCTTTTTTTCTAATTTGAAGAAAAGCAAAAAATATTACCTTTTTTTTAAGGTAAGGTCTAATTTGGCCTTTAAACTGAGGTCTTAATTTCCTCCCAAAGTATGTGGGATCATAACAAAGAAGTAGGCAGGACCAGGACAAAATTAATAACAGTATGATTATTCCAGACACATTTTATTTTATTTATTTATTTATTTATTATTTTAATTTGTATACCGCCCTTCTCCCATAGGACTCAGGGCGGTTCACAGCATATTAAAAACAAATAATATACCCAAAATACAGAAAATACACAATACAAAAATACAAAAGAATAAACCCTGATAAAAGCCGAATTAAAACCAAATATTCCCAGCTGTGTTTCCAATTAAAATACT